TTTTGGGAATTTTCCCAAGTAAATTAATCCATTGAAGCTATCTATTATCATCTTTATGGCAAAAATTCCAAATTATAAAATATATTTACTTTAAATTTTACACATTGGAAAATAGCTTCTGTTCCCTCATTGTGACAGCAGCTTCCTAACGGAGATGATTTCCTGACTGGGTTTTATTGGCAGTTCCCCATTATCCAGGACTACTCTGCTTCCTTCTGAATTTTCCTTAGCCTGTCAAGTACAAGATCAAGTACAGGAAATGGAATATAAGGCTGTGAGTCAAACTGAAGAGTCACCCACTGCTCTTTGGGTCACAGAATTAAAATGAATAATTGTTTTCCAGATATTTTCAAGCTGTAATAATCTCTGAATATTTTTTCAGGAGTGGTTTGTAGAAATTAGACAGTTTAATCCCAATTTATTTTTTTTTGTTTCGTTTCATTCGTATGTCTAGTAGAAATGCATTGTGACCCAAGTATTTTTCTTACTTTCCAATTAATAATATATTGATGTGCATATACATTTATGTATGAAACACACCCCCCAAAATTTAGTGACAATACCACTAATGTGGTTCAAAGTTTTGTTCAATTGGCAGTTTGTGCTGTGTTCAACTGGGTCGTTTTTCTGCTGCTTGTATCTGTACTCATTTATGGGTCTTTGATCAGCAGTAAGTTAGTTTAGGGGCCCTGGTGATAAACTGTCAGCTGGGGTATGGGGCAACTGAACCAAGAGTCCTTATCATGCCACAGGCTAACTTTGGCCTGTTCCTATGGTAGCTGAGAGCTCTAAGGAAAACAAACAGGAAGTCCTAGTACAAAAATGATTTTCAAACCTTGTATGGTATTGATCCATAGGCTAAGGAAAATCACATGACCAATCCTAGAATCAATGTAGGCAAGTTCTTCGAAAGAAAACATGGAGATGGGGTGGTTTAAACAAAACAAAGCCATCATTACTATCGTCATTCCAACACTCACTTTAATGCACTGAAAGAACTCAGCAACCAAGGAAACGCTCTACTTGAGGACCCTTTCTCTCCTGGACACGAAGTCATCAATTGCTAATACAGATTATGCTGCTGTAGAGTTGAGCAACAGAAGCCTGCTGGGCCCATAGATCCCACTGCTGGCTGAGAATTTACCAATGACAATGCTTTATGGTGAAGAGAGTAAATATGCTCTCCAATCTTGTTAGGATTCTATAGTGAACAATTATTTGTGATATTAGAGGGCAAGGATGAAAGTTCATTTGGATTGTTTTATTGACTATTTCAATAAAACTTTCGAAGAAATAATAATGAGTTGTTCTATAGAACTGATGATACATCACTAAGGCACTGGAGATGTGTTTTAGAGCCAATAAAATAGAATATAAATTCTAGAAACATGTTGAAACTATGTATGTGCTTATTTGATAAAAGTACCACTCCAAATGAGAAAATATTGTAACATAAATTTGTTTATTCCACACATATTTATTGTCAGCATTATTTATTTATAATTGCAACCCTTCTTCAGCCTTTAGCACGGGTATTGTTTTGAGAACTGAGAACAGAGCATTGAATCTAGATCCTTGACCTCTTAGAACTTATGTTCCAATGAGAAGAGATAAAGAGCTAATAGAAAACATAAAATGCATTTAGACAGTGCTGTAATAGAGAAAGACTGAGACAGTCTTTTAAAAACTGGTCATAGGGACAGCACCAAAAAGGAGAGCCCATGTGTTCAAAGGGTGATCTGGGTCACATAGGAACGGTAGGCCATGGTAAGGCGTTCAGATCTAGATTCTTTCTTCACAGGTGTATGGGGCAACCACTAGAAAAGCTCTTAGCAAAGGAACTCAGCATGATGTGATCTGAATGGCTTATAAAAGATCATACTGGCTGAGGTGGAGAAAGTTGAAACAGGACAGAGAGGAGGCAGAGAGACCTGTTAGGAGGCCATTGTGGTAACCAAGCCAGATATGATGCTGACCTGATGCAGGGAGGTAGCAGTGGAGAAATGACATCAGGACTTGCCAATTTACTGGAACTGGAAGGATGGAAAAGAAGAAATCAAGGGCCTCAGTTCAACATTTGTTCTGAGTAACCATGGGTTTGCCAATCGCCTTGTGACGCTTAAGGGATGAAATACAGAACAATACAAATAATACAGGATTTTAATTATTTCACAGATATAGCTTATTTAATAGACAAAACACTTAGAAAAATAAAGTTAGATTAAAACTTTATGGCTTTTTGCATAGGAAGTCCAGATGAGTTGAATTTAATGAATAAACTATAATCTGGAAAAAATCTAGAAGAACATATATACTTATATGGATTGAAGAACTTTTATTAATATATTTTACTATTTAACTTTTCAAGCTCTTATATGTCAAAAATACCATAAATAAGACTAAGAGGTAAACAAACAGCCTTGGAAATAAAATAGTTTATACGCTTAATATGTAAAGACATCTCATAAATCAGTAAGAAAAAGATGAGCAGAGCATAAAATAAACAGGTGGGTGGGGTAGTGCATGCCTTTAATCCCTGCACTCTAGAGGCAGAGGCAGGAAGATTTCTGAGTTCTAGGCCAGCCTGGTCTACATAGGGAATTCCAGGCTAGCCAGGAGTACCTAGTGAGACCATCTCAAAAAACAAACAAACAAAAAAAGTAAAATAAACAAAAAGTGGAAATACAAGGTAAGTATAAAGAAAAGATTCAATATTAATGCTAACTAATAATATACATATTTAAAATACACTGTCATTTGAGTAAGGTTATATACACATGTAATCCTAGCACTTAGGAGGATGAAGTAAGAGGATCAAGAATTAGAGACCAGCACAAGTTACCAAGGGAGATCCTGTCTCAAAAAATAAAATATAAAATATGAATTTTAACCTTTCAAATTGAAATGTTTAAAATAAGCATAACAACATGATCTTATATTGCCCTAGGGCTATAAACTTGACAAGTTTTTTTTTTTTTTTTGGTTGTTAGCCTTTAACAGCTGTGCCTCCAGGCCGAGAAATATTTTTTAAGAAAAAATTTAAGTGTATATTCCCTTCCATCTAGCAATGCCACTTTTTAAAATTTATCTAGAGGTCATAATCACACTTAGGTACAGTTACATATAAACAATGCCTGTCATGTTGCTTAACGATATAACTTTCTCACAATAAAGAACAGGTTAAATAAATAATGGTTTATATATATAGGGCAATACAGTGTAGCTAGTCAAAATACGTTTCAGGGAAAAATATCCTGACTTGTGTAGTAAATTGTTCGAATTATATTTTATGTGATAAAAGCAGGTTATAAAACAACAAATTCTAAGTAACTTCCTTTTGATAGATTTCCATAAAGTAAACATGTCAGTAAAGGCATTCAGCAAATTGATTATCATAATTATATTTGAGACAAGCTTGTGGGTCATTTTTTTCTTTTCATGTCAATGGTTTGTTTTTTCAAACTTCTCATGTTATACACACGGAATTACAGTTTGTTAAAAATATAAACTACATATTTACAACAGGACAGAGCCCTCACAAAGCAGTCCCTGAGGCTCTGCCTACTAAAGGAACCCAGCTGGACGGCAGTAATCAGAATAAACCCATTGAAGATGCTTGCAGGGAAAAATGCAGTACAAGTTGCCCAGACACTGTCAATAAACAAATGGTCCCTTTTGAGTACAGACTTGAGGCAGATCAAGGATTTGAGGAAGATATTCTAGAACGCAGGAGCCGTAAACTCTTCAGATCCTGTTCCTTATCATCCAAAGGTCAGTCCATGCCAGCAAACACAAACCAGGAGGTTGTGAACCACCCTGGCAACCAAAGGAATACAAGCAATACTAGGGCCTACCTGGCCTTACATAAGGCGGTAAACACTTTAGGATCCAGCAAGCCCATTTGCCCAAAGAATAAATGTCAATATCCCCGGTCCTTACACAAAGTTGGTTGAGTCAACTGTCTGACCTTTTCGATACGTAGAATCCAATGTAAAGCGTCATACATACATATTAAAAAAGCAGGATCAGTCAGTCTGTGAATTCTGCTTTTACACACAGAGGACAACAGAAGTCAACTCAGCCTGCTGAGCTTTTCCTTAAAAATCATATTAAATTCCTTTTGAAAACTCAAAATCTTAACAGATGAAAAACCAAACTTTAAAGAATTATCAGCCATTTTCTTACACAACAGTAAATCACACATGATACTTTTTTCAGTGTATATAAATAAAAACACTATTTCCACAGCATCTTCATCTGATCTTTTTTACTGTTTTTCCTTTTGAAATCCGAGGTATTGAAGAAAAGCGCACTTCCCACACCTAATTCAGTAGATGAATTGATGTCTACCAGACTCTTCTGTGGAGTTTAATTAAATTTAACACACACACACACACACACACACACACACACACACACACATACCCCAGAGGCGCCTATCCAAGACCCAAGTCCTACTAAGCCAGAGCCTCCAGAGTGGTCAGGCAGGTGGATGTGCTGGGGCATGCTGAGCTTTAAAAAATACCTGCCTTGGGTACTAAGGAGCTAGAAGGGAACAGGGGTGGGAATCAAGGAAAAGAAAACTACGAAATCTCAAGCTCAAAGACTAATTAAAAAATAAAAAAGACAGAATGGCATTGAGTCCTCGTTGGTGCGGCTGGTCTGTGGTATGGGTGTCGCGGATCTGGCTACCCGGGCTCAGGCCACTCACTTCTCTTCAGAACTGTGTCAGAGAGCTCTGTACCTGTCCGCAGCCCCAAGGCAAGAAAGTAAACACTCCCAACATGCACAGAGGCGCTGGGCGTGGCTCGGGTTGCTCACACCCCCGCAGGGGCCAACCTGAGTAATAATTAACAGCTGCTGGTCCTCCTGAACGTGCAGGGGAAGCTCAGAGCCGAGCCCAGCCTGGGAATCTTGCCCGCCCGCCCGCCTGAGACCCACAGCGCAGGTGAGCAGGTGAGTGACAGCCCTGCCCCAGACAGACACTCCAGGGCCAGGACGCCTCCAGGGAACGCTCTGCACAGCAAGTTCAGCGCGGCAACTCCTGAGAAGCCCCTCTGTCCACAGTGGGAATAACTGGTGATCTTGAGGGTGGGAGAAGGAGCCGCACTCATCCACCTCCGGGGACGAGGGTCAGGGAAAGTTAATAGAAAGCAAAATCCACAAGCAGCAAGGGTGATTGGGGCATGTACACCGCAGCCTGAACCCTGGTGAGACTCTGTTGTTTGGTTTTCTCAGGATACCCTTTCCTGACCAAGGTGAGCGGGTGTCGGAGGGTGGAGAAGAACCGGAACGGGAGCGTGGCCACCTCCCCCACCCCTTTACTCAAAGAACCAGCTTAAGTTCTAGGCTCCTGAGTGAAACCTCATTTCTCTGCCTTTTCTTGGGGGTATTGAATGATCACATCATGTCGGAAGGATCCCTTTGAGGATTCAGTTAAATTTTCGTTTCCACAAGGTAAATCACCCTCTAGTCATTGAAAAGGATTTAGGATATAATGAAAACCTCCCCAAACAATAACCATCATTATGGGGAGGCCCATGAGTGAGCATGCAGATTCCTAAGTTGGAGTCTAAGGTTCAAGTCTTGGCTGTACTGCTTACTAGTTTATCCCTTTGAAAGTTACTTAGCATGGCTAAGAAGCCTCAAAAGTCAGCCAGCTATACAACAAACGTGATACTATCAGTCACGTGGGACCCTAGGGGGTTTTAAGGTAGCAGGTATTCCATAAATGACATCTATCATCACCCAAAAATCAGCAGCTCTGTAAAATGGTGGCAATCAGGGAGGGCAAGCTGAGCAGATGAGATCAGACCCTGAGGAGTGTTACAAGACAACATTGGGTCTAAGACACTGGGCAAGCGGACAATGGGCAAGCATCAGCTCTCTGAATAGCTATGAAATTGCCTAGCTTCTTTTCAAACATTTAGAGTACTTGGTGACAAATTTAAACTTAATCACTTTTATTTTTAAAAACTCATGTTTATATTAATCTATTACTGCTGAAAATTTTTTATAGTAGGAGAGTTATACCCTATCTCACTTTCAGAATCCATGGTCTTTATGTTTCACAAGAGAGAGACTGCATTTGAATAACTTTGATCAGATCGGACCTATAGTCCATGTCCTAGTATAACATATATTGAGTGGTTTATATTCAGATTATGTTGGCCTTCATTTATATTTATAAGAAACATAAGAATCTGATATCTATTCTTGGTCAGTCCTAAACTACAAGGAAGTGGCTTTATTTTATCAAGTGTCATGTGAAGGACACTTTCGTGGATGTAACTGTTAGTTTTAAAATGTTGCTAAGTGGTACACAGCTAATCCTGACTAAAGATCATCATTGTTTTAAGGATTCTTTTTCTAATTGTAGAATTTGGATTTTCTCATACACTTTTAATTAGATATTGACTGAAGAACTGTGAGCAGAATTCTAAAGCCAAGCTAACTGAAATTCACTGTGCTGCTGTGTTGTAGGGTCTAACAGTGCCTGGTGCAGTTTAGCTTATGAAGTATAAAGTTGATTTAGAATATGTTAGAGAGCAACTATTGACTAAACATATTTCATCTTTTACACTGATATCATTGCATCTAACTATATAGCTAGGCATAAGTCTTCCTAGTTAAAGTGTTTTAGTATACATATAAATTTGTCCACTATTCCTAAGTTGTGACACTTCATTATAAATTATAAAATGTTTTAATCAACCAGAGAGAGAAATAAGCAGCATTGTTTAAGAAAAATAAATTTTTCCACTTGTATTCAAAATAGCGTAACTTATAATACATGTAACATATTATTAAAGGTTTTATACTCAATCCTTAGTTTCCTAAAATAAGCATCCTATTTTTTAATTGAACTAGATGTTTACTAGTAACAGTCCATTTACTTATAAAGATTGATTGATTGAAATATTGATGAGTAATTCAGAGATTTTAGAAACGCTCAAACTAGGACTTTATATGAAAGTTTAGATTTTAAGAAATATGCAGGTATTAAAAGAGAAATATGTCGGTATTGAAAACTCAGCTTCTAAGAAAGTTCTTCTCAATATTCTCTCCTTATATTAAAATCTGCAATGGGAGAAATATTCTGTTGCAAAATTTGATCTGTATCTTTCAAAACCGTCAATTACAGTAATTTCAGACCAGTTAGTACCACTGCTTCTTGCAGTTGAACATGGGAATGTCACCTCTTCAAAGAAGTCATGGCCATGCCATCAAAGTAACTCAAATAGTTGAAGGAAAATTGTAGTACCCAGAGTCCAGTAAATGGAGCTCTGAAAGGGAAAGTGTTGATTCATTTTATAGTCAATAGGTGAACAGGAAAAAGGAGGCACAGTCTTTGGGACATCAACTTTTAGAATTTCTTTTGGGAACCTCAGATGCAGAGGAGAATCCCTGGAGCCCTCCACAGCAGCAGTTGCAAAAGGTGCCCTTGAGCTGCTCTGTCCCAGACTGGAGGGGTGGGGGGTGGGGTGGGGGGAAGCCCGGGACATTCCTGAAGTCTCTATCTGGCTGTCGCTACATCCTTTACCTCTCCTTTTTCCTCACTTCCCCGAGTGCACTGTGGGCATTGCATCACTGATGTGAAAATATGCTGTTGATTTTAGAGATTTGGTATTTCTAGCGAGATTCTGTGTGCGCTAATGGCAATGGCATGTTAACATAGAAGTGTGGTTACTTGATCTATAACCTGTTTAATACTGTCTTAACTTAAAGGATTGAAATAAAAATTTTAAAGCCAGGTGTGGTAACATACGCCTATAATCTCAGCACTCAAGGGGTGGGGGCGGAAGATCAGGAATTCAAGACCATCCTTGGTTATATAGCAGGTTCAAGGCCAGTCTAGGTTACATGAGACCCTGTTACAAAAAGATAAAACAAAGAAATAAATTTTTATTTTCATCTCAAGACAATCCCTAGCTGCAACCAACCACTTAATAAAGTGATAGTTTTTATACTTCAGCTCCCCATCATCTCTACAAATGTCTTTAGAAAAGAGCCAAGCATTTTCCAGAAACTACATTTCTACTAACTCTTTTCTTTCTTTAAAAATTGGATAATGGATGAAGTTACAGATAGCTTATGGTTCTGTCTCAGTTCCCCTAAGTCATGTAATTACACGTCTCTGTTCTTCCCTTCTCCCAGGTTCTAGATCACAATGTTGAGAACACATTAGCTTTGTTTTGGAGTTGAATACATACTTGTCCATTGCTTCTCCAGAGCAAAACGATTTTCTCTTAAAAAATAACCTTATGTTTGTGATCCTTGATGTAATCTTACCTTATAATTAAAATATACACTTGCCCTTCCCAGGTGACACTTCCTGGGTTTATAATTTGTTTCTTAATTACCTTTATTGCGGGATACCTATAATGTATCATGTACATGTAAGTTTCTTACATGTGATTTTAAAATGTACACATGAAGTCAAAAAGGAAATTACTCATCCTCTAATAGCCCTT